GTTCTTTGTTATTCTTTGTCAGTATGTCTTTCTTTGTTGTTCTTTGTCAGTATGTCGTTCTTTGTTGTTCTTTATCAATATGTCGTTCTTTGTTGTTCTTTGTCAGTATGTCGTTCTTTGTTATTCTTTATCAATATGTCTTTCTTTGCTGTTCTTTGTCAGTATGTCTTTCTTTGTTGTTCTAGGTCAATATGTCTTTCTTTGTTGTTCTTTGTCAGTATGTCGTTCTTTGTTGTTCTTGGTCAATATGTCTTTCTTTGTTATTCTTTATCAATATGTCTTTCTTTGTTGTTCTTTGTCAGTATGTCTTTCTTTGTTGTTCTTTATCAATATGTCTTTCTTTGCTGTTCTTTGTCAGTATGTCTTTCTTTGTTGTTCTAGGTCAATATGTGTTTCTTTGTTGTTCTTTGTCAGTATGTCGTTCTTTGTTATTCTTTATCAATATGTCTTTCTTTGTTGTTCTTTGTAAGTATGTCTTTCTTTGTTGTTCTTTGTCAGTATGTCTTTCTTTGTTGTTCTTTGTCAGTATGTCTTTCTTTGTTGTTCTTTGTCAGTATGTCTTTCTTTGTTGTTCTTTGTCAGTATGTCGTTCTTTGTTGTTCTTTGTCAATATGTCTTTCTTTGTTGTTCTTTGTCAGTATGTCTTTCTTTGTTGTTTTTGTCAGTATGTCTTTGTTGTTCTTTATCAGTATGTCTTTCTTTGTTGTTCTTTGTCAGTATGTCTTTCTTTGTTGTTCTTTGTCAGTATGTCTTTCTTTGTTGTTCTTTGTCAGTATGTCTTTCTTTGTTGTTCTTGGTCAGTATGTCTTTCTTTGTTGTTCTTTGTCAGTATGTCTTTCTTTGTTGTTCTTGGTCAGTATGTCTTTCTTTGTTGTTCTTTGTCAGTATGTCTTTCTTTGTTGTTCTTTGTCAATATGTCTTTCTTTGTTGTTCTTTATCAATATGTCGTTCTTTGTTGTTCTTGGTCAGTATGTCGTTCTTTGTTGCTCTTTGTCAGTATGTCTTTCGTTGTTGTTCTTTATCAATATGTCGTTCCTTGTTGTTCTTGGTCAATATGTCGTTCTTTGTTGTTCTTGGTCAGTATGTCTTTCTTTGTTGTTCTTTGTCAGTATGTCTTTCTTTGTTGTTCTTTGTCAGTATGTCTTTCTTTGTTGTTCTTTGTCAGTATGTCTTTCTTTGTTGTTCTTTGTCAGTATGTCTTTCTTTGTTGTTCTTTGTCAGTATGTCTTTCTTTGTTGTTCTTTATCAGTATGTCTTTCTTTGTTGTTCTTTGTCAGTATGTCGTTCTTTGTTGTTCTTTGTCAGTATGTCGTTCTTTGTTGTTCTTTATCAATATGTCTTTCTTTGTTGTTCTTTATCAGTATGTCTTTCTTTGTTGTTCTTTGTCAGTATGTCGTTCTTTGTTGTTCTTTATCAATATGTCTTTCTTTGTTGTTCTTTATCAGTATGTCTTTCTTTGTTGTTCTTTATCAGTATGTCTTTCTTTGTTGTTCTTTGTCAGTATGTCTTTCTTTGTTGTTCTTTATCAGTATGTCTTTCTTTGTTGTTCTTTGTCAGTATGTCTTTCTTTGTTGTTCTTTGTCAGTATGTCGTTCTTTGTTGTTCTTTGTCAGTATGTCTTTCTTTGTTGTTCTTTGTCAGTATGTCTTTCTTTGTTGTTCTTTGTCAGTATGTCTTTCTTTGTTGTTCTTTGTCAGTATGTCGTTCTTTGTTGTTCTTTGTCAATATGTCTTTCTTTGTTGTTCTTTGTCAGTATGTCTTTCTTTGTTGTTCTTTGTCAGTATGTCGTTCTTTGTTGTTCTTTGTCAATATGTCTTTCTTTGTTGTTCTTATATTTTGGAGACTGTAGATTTCACAAAATATATGTACTATACCTGGGAGACAGTAGATTTCACAAAATATCTGCACTATGTCTGGGAGACTGTAGATTTCACAAAATATATGTACTTTACCTGGGAGACTAGATTTCACAAAATCTCAGTACTATACCTGGGAGACTGTAGATATCACAAAATATCTGTACTATATCTGGGAGACATTAGATATTACAAAATGACTGCAAAAACATGAGTATTCTTTGAACAGATCAGTTTTGCTGAAGTGCAATATAAAAAGACAAAAGATAGAAAAAGCAAAACTGTATGAAATATTCGGGTCTCAAGTTTAATGTGAGCAAATTAAATAGGGTTTGTAATGATTAAATGTGTCTCTTTCATACACCAACTATACAACCTAATGTTAAATATTTAATTTCAATTTGTTTACTACAAAACTCTTTTTACTCATTCTTCCCTGTGTGCCTAGAATTCATGGTAGTAAACAAACAGCTGTGTAATTTAATTTGGCATTACTGGGACAGAAACATACATATAACATAATTATACTTGTAAATACATACGTGTAAAAATACATTCAGATCCATAAATATGATATCATTAGTATGCCTTGTTAGCATTTATATTTCATAGTAAATACTTTGGAGAGATCAAACACAAAACAGGCAATAAACCTCCACATCTGTTTCACTGTAACAACATTTGAAGTATGAAGTCAATTCTACCTCAAAACAAACAAATGTTTTACTATTTGAACGTTGATGTCAGATGTGATGAGGTGATGAGAGATCTTGGTGATCACCATTGATTTTATCATTATATGTTCTTTGAAAGTTAGATCTTTTCGTTTTTTCCTCTTCTGGTTTTGATTTTAATTATAAGAAATTTGAATATTCTTTTGAAGATATAGTGATGATGATCTTTAACTGACAAGTTTAGGATGGTAATCTGAAAACCATTTTTTCCTCATCAGTCCAAAAACGGGCACAACTAGATATCAAAGGGACCTACACATCAATGTTTGAGAGAGATCATCAATCAGTACTTTATAAGAAATAAGGATAACAATCTTTACTAGGCGAAATCCAAGAAGATTGCCTGTCGGCCATTTCATTTTTTTTTTATCAACCCCGAAATCAAACAGGCACAACTAGGGACCAAGAGGAACCAATACAAGAAATTTGAGAAGGATCTATGCAGTATTTCTCAAGAAATAGCGATAACAAACTTTTAAAGTCAAAATCCAAGATGGCCACCGGTAAGCCATTTATTTTTGTGATCAGTCCCAAAATTCAAAAAGGCACAACTAGGGACATACATATGAAATATGCAAGATCTATTGAGTACTTCTCAAGAAAAAGTGATAACAATCTTTCAAAGTCAAAATCAAAGATGGCCTTCTGTCGGCCATTTTGTTTTTCTGATTAGTCCCAAAATTGAATGTGAACAACTAGAGACCAAGCGGAACCTACATATAAAATTTGAGAAAGATTCCTCTCTTTTGAAGAAATAGCAATAACAAACTTCATTGAAAAAATCCAAGATGTCCACCTGTCAGCCATTTTGTCTTCTGATCAGTCCCGAAAACATACGTCCACAACCAGGGACCAATAGGAACCTACGCATGAAATTTGAGAAAATACATCCAGCACTTCTCAATTAAAAAAGCCCACCATCTGATGATGGTTGGCTAAAAATGTCACTCAACACTACCGATGTATGTCAATAGGTATTTTTTAAATGAAATTGTTATGTAATTTGACAATAATTGTAGAGAAAATACAAGTGATCTCAGAAGGATCTTGGAATCCACCATTGTTTCTTTATTTCTTCTTTAAAATACACCATATGTTTCTCAAGAAATAGTGATGAATATTTTTATTGAAATTAATTCAGCCATCTTGTCAAGTTCTTTTTTTTTTTGACTGATCATCCCAAAATAAAATGGGCTCAACTCGGGACTAAGGTGAATCTATATATGAATTTTGAGCAAGATATATCTAGTGCTTCTAAAGAAATAGTGAAAACAATCTTTCGTTGTTGAAATCCAATATGGCTGCCTGTAGGCCATTTTGTTTTACTGATCAGTCTCAAAACCGAAAAGATACAACTAGCACCCAAGTTTTTTCTAGAAATTTTATTGTGAACTTGTACTCCTCTTCTAATAACTTATCCTGTTTGTAAACACTTCTAGAATGTTAAAGGAATGTGAAAATTTCCCCTTTTTGGTCCCAAAACCTAGCCCTAATTGGGCCATATACTAAATTTGGTCATCAGGGAATCCACCTTGCCAAAGCCATAAAATAAAACATTAAACATTATGTTTATAAACGTGGAAGATATCAAGTTATTTGTTCAGTAGCAATACAAACTACATTAAATTTAATCTCCTCCAACAGGAAACCCATGCAAATGAACTGATATTTAATCCTTATCATCTAATTGACATGTCATTACTTCTATCATTTTTCATAATGGCAAGAGAAGAATATGAAAAGTTCCTCGATAAAGCAGTTTGAGCTTCAACACCTAAAGGAATCAGAACATTGATTAAACAATTTTGTTTCCTTTCCCTGAATATATCAGGTAAAGTATGCTTCAATTTCATTCAGTGGCTATTTACATCGTGTAAACACTCTCCAAAAGGCTGAAATTATGTATTGTCTCTAGCAAAGTAACAACAAATATCAATCACATTCTTATAACATTTACAAGGTTGCACCCCTTGATGTTAATCTCCTGTGTGGCTGATAATTTCATGAAATTCATACCCAGTGTACTGGTGGATATGGGAAACAATATCATTTTAGGCATGATTTGTCAAAGGTCAAGATTGTGGATGAAACTAATAATAAGAAAAAATTGTTTTGGCTTAAATTCCTGAGTGAAAAGCTTGGATCATAATCACACAAAATCCAAAATTAGTATTTGGATTGCTATACACCACACACATGATGGCCTGAAAGTTCAAGTTATTATTTCTTTCTTTGAAATTAAGTCTGGATGTCATATATAAATAAAACAGTAAACAAAATTCAGACTAAATGGATAAGTTCCTTAAGGAGCCTACAGTAAAATCATGGATTGGGTAAATCAGTCGTCACATTCTGATTTATCAGAGTTTCGTTAGTACTAAATATTTACAGAAATAAAACGAACCCACAATGTATTTCCATATTTTTATTTTAGACATTGAATGTTCCATCATGTTTCTATATTTCTCACACATAAAACCTGTGAATGGTACATGAATACATGACTTTACAGTTCAGTGCAACTTCTCCAAACAGATCCTTCTCAGGACTGATCACCCCTTGAAAATGAACAAAAAGGTGATGTTTGGAATTATTTTTATTACATAAATAAAATTCCCAATACATATCCCTCTAAATTCTGATTACAGAAATGGTTTTGTAGCCGATATGTGTGAAATATACTGAAAATTACTTCTGTAAACTGGCCTCACCTGAGAGATCAAGACCAAAGGTCCGACCAGCGGACTGTGAAATCAAACCTGTGACCACAGTCATAAGCTTTGAGCCCAATGCATATCGGTCTTAGGTAGGCTTTGTACATAATACCTATCCTGATCAGGAGAATTATAATAAACATTATACATTATTATCACAAATGACAAAATGAAGGAGTTGTTTCCCCAAATCAGAGCTACATAAAAAAGCAAATAAATAATTAAACAGAGCTAGACACCAGTTTGGCATCTTATTTACAGGTGATGGAATATGTTACCAGGTACGTTAATATGTACAAAATGGAAACAATGGAATGGAATATTGTTTTAAAACACAATATTGCTACACTGGTTAATGAAACACCTATTCATTAAATATTTTGGTTGTAAACACTTTCAGACAAACCAACCAAGATAAGTTGATTCTGGACATGTGTTTTGCTTAGTTTAAGTTAGGCCAAGTTCTGTGCAATGCCAGGAAATATGCAGCTTTTTTATGAATGAAAGTCATATATTCTACACAAGTATCATTGTTTATTTTTCACTTCATCAAAATATCTTTATACTATGAAGTTTTTTAACCTTTAAATAGACATGTACTGAAATGTTCTGAGCTATATTTAGAGTCCAGAACGGTATATTTTGTTCAATGCTGCAAGCCGAACCCTCCTAAACCAGCCAAACATTCATGTCCTATGTATGAACAGTTTGGAGAAATTGCACTATACAAAAACAGTTCCAAACACAGTGAAAATGATCTTACTTTTGTACTAAAACAGTTCCAAACACTGAAAATGATCTTCTTGTCAAACTAAAACAGTTCTAACATGACAAACACTGTGAAAATTATCTTCCTGTCATAAAATCTACCAAAGTACAAATTCTAATGAAGAATTTACAATTGATATTTACCAAAGGTTGCATCTAGGTTACTGTATGGTATTTACATGAAATAGTTTTGTTGTATACATCACGAGGTTAATCAATAACCAGAATGTCTTTACAGGACATCTGCATTTCTATATTTTTTTGTCAAAAGAAAACAGATTTTCATTAAAACAGAGTAAAACTAAACATAAATTTTTCTATCAGAATTTCTATGACACAGTATTAAGATTAATATTGTAAGTTTTTAATTGGTAGAAAGAACTTTTTCACCTCTACACTCAATTTCAGAAAATTGTTTTGAATGAAGTCTTCATTTTTCATATCTTAAAACAATGATTTCTAACAAAGAAACCAATAACTTGTTAATAGACTGTTTTTGTGCATGTTAACTTAAATAAAGATGACTTTGTTCATCTGTGACTTACACTGCTGACAAGTACACTAGATACAGTGTATTACTGATCTACATCCGTCACCTATCTGATATATGTAGTGATGACAATAAACAGTTACCATTATAACATCATAATGAACCAACATTTCACATGCATTCATCAAGCTCCATCTTAAACTGCCAACTTAATTAAAGTGAGAAAAACATGGAACAGTCCTCAAACAGCTTATATGACATCATCAGTTTTCCTATAGAGTATGTGATCCCATCAAACCGCCAGCACATCTGTTTGAATTTCATGACTTAGCTGTGTTTGTAAGTCACTGAGCTTCTTCTTTAACACACCAAGTCCTGAGAACACAATGTTTTCTGGTCGTAATGACCCACAAGCCTCCACATTTAAGAAGAATTTGTTTGGTTTTCCAGTCTGATTGAAGGGAGCTTCATCTACATAAATGAAAGAGATTCTATTTCAGACAATGGTCCAATAATAATAGCTGGGATGTGGCTAAGCTAACCACAAGTAATGACTCAGTTTTTTCATCATTCCTGAACATATCTCCTTTTTTCTCGAATATATTCTTATGAAAGTATAGAATTCTTACAACTCTTACAATTACAATCAAGAATGATCAAGTTGGTGTAAACAATTTGTTTCTAATTAAATGTGCCTTTTTATTAAATGAAACAGTTTGAACAGTAGTAGTAGTAGTAATAGTAGTAGAAGAAAGAATAGGAGGAGGAGACTTACGTGTGTCTTCATCTAGTTCTGAGAATTCACTCTTGGGCCTGCAATATTCAAAAGATACATATGTATTTGATATTTAAATTGAAAGTGAAAATTGTTTAGAAAGCCATTTAACATCCCAAAATGGTGATCATACAAAACCATTAAATACAGCAGTTTTTACTCCACAATAACCATCCAAAATTTTCCTCTTAACAGCGGAGTTCATGTCCAAAATGCTCATCCTCAGTACAACCAGTTAACACTTCAAGTTTGACTCCCAACCTTAAACCATATCCAAAGAGACTTCCAACTGCAAACACCACCAAATAGACTCCCAGAACTAAACACAATAAACAGATTTCCCAACTACAAACACCATCAAATAGACTCGCAAATCTCAACACAATAGAACAGATTCCCAATTACAAACACCATCAAATAGACTCGCAAATCTCAACACAATAAACAGATGTCCAACTACAAACACCATCAAATAGACTTCCAAAACTAACCACAATAAACAGATGTCCAACTACAAACACCATCAAATAGACTCCCAAATCTAAACACAACAAAACAGACTTCCAACTGCAAATACCTTCGAATAGACTCCCAACTTTAAATACCACCAAATAGACTCCAAACTTCAAACACCATCAAATACACTTCAAACATTAAACACTATGGGGTTATTACAAATTAAGGACAAATCACTAAAGTATAAAGAAATGTTTTCATTATCTAAAAACTCTGTAATGCAATATAAATTATGATTTACCATTCTTCTGGTTTGGGGAAAGTTGTGTGGCGCAATGAATTGTCTGGATCATATTCGAAGGAAACTCCAGCAGTGGGGTTCCATTTAGCATGCTCTTTGGCAAATCCTTTTCTCGCAAATGCTTTCACTTTCAGTTCCTGGCCTTTCCTCAGTTTGACAATCAGAATATCTACAAAAAAATGCATTGAAGCCGTTTCAGAACAAGAAAGCTTGTCTATTGATGACAGTTTCAATCATGTGGATACCAACTGATATTAACAGATGCATATACTGGTACACCTATCAAAATTCTTATCACTCAACACCATGAAGATTTGATCATATATAACTTCACCTGAAAAAATAAAGATCTAATGTTTAAATAGAAAAAAAAATGAAAATTTCACTTTTTGAATGAACATTTCCCAATTTCACTCTGCTTATTGGTGCATGTAACCAATATCTACTCTCATATGCTAACTATCAACATCCTAGTATACATACTTAATATATACATGTACTTGCATTTTATCACTTGCAACAGAAAGTTTACCTCCAAAAATATGCCAAAATTCTAATTTCAAAAACAAGTGTTCCCATTTTTATATGCTTCCAAGTATCAGCATCTTTGTTCACTATTCAGTTATAAACTTGACCATTTCCTTGCAACAAAACTTTAAACTAAATGACAACATAGATGTCAGGCTGATTCTATAAGCCGCTGATTTCTTTACAACACATTTGCACCTGCCAACTAAATATGGCTACTCAATCCATTTGAGTTATATCATGCAGCTACAAGTGATTTTTCACACATCTATTTATTGTACAGATATGAAGTATATAAATTCCAGATAAATCAACTGAGAGTAATTGGCTTCTTTCCAGTTCACTTACAATGGTACTACTGCTTTGATCAGACAAAACTTCTAATTTCGTTTTCAAAATCATCATGTGATAAATGTGCTATTCACTGTATTAACACAAGCTAATTTCGAACTGGCTAAGAGTATTTCCATCAATTTTGTTTGTCCAAACTGACCACAGGAAGATATTTTGGTGCTGGCTTGGTACAGAACATCCAGACATCTGGCATTTGTCTGAAATATCCCTTGTAGAAATTATATTCCTTGAAATAGTTACAAACATTTTTTACTTGTTAATTTTTGAAGATAAAACACATGTTTGGAAATAAAGTACAATAACATTCTGATGTTCAATACCTTTGCTGGTAATCATTCTGTATGAAAGGCTTTGTTCAGTCAAGACCTGAAATATGTCAACATGATAATGGACTTACCGTCTGTGTCTTCATATTCACTGGCTTCTTCTTTATGTCTCGATGTCACCTGAAAATGATATTACCAGGTCTTAACAACAGAGAATAACATGTCAATAGATTATCTACTGGTCTCAATATCAAAGAATTCTAAAACCTTGTTTCTAAAAATAGTTCATATATGGGCAACAAAGGAGAGTAACTTTTTACTGACAATAGCATCAACAGGACTTGACAAATATCAGACAGTAGTGAGCCATGTTACTTACTGGAACAACTTTGGGGTTACTTGAAATCAGATCAGCACTGGTCACATGACATGTTCGGTCATCTGTACATTTTACCTCCAAGTTAAACTCCACAGAACAATCAGGACAAAATTCCTCACAGGTACAGTCCTGCAATAATGATTCAAACCTACTTAGTAATATAATTATCTCTCAATATTCATACATGTATGCTATATCAACCACACCATTCCCATTCCATCCTTATTCATTATTATTGATAACAGTGATCTATTACATCAAATATTTTTCTCTCTTGATCAAGGTACACAACATTGAAATATAAATCGTGTTTTGATATAAATGTGTTTCAGTACTACAATAGCTGACTCTTGTAATAGTCTAGATATACTGCATATCACTTGGACACTAAATTGGTTCTGTCATCAATGTAGTTACCCTAGAGTACTGCATTCTGTCAACCATCTCATCACTGGTCAGTGGGATAAGACCAATACGATGGGCAATGAACTCATCAAACAGGACTGTAGAGTTGGCTTCTATCTGTACCCAGTCTATGGCTGTAACAGACAATGGACATGATTAACTTCATCAAATGATTAGCTTCATCAATAAGAGGACTGGTGGACATGATTCATAAATGAACTAGGTCAAAAAGAGGCCCAATAGACATGTTTCACACATTCACTAGGTCAACAAGAGGCCTTATGGACATGTATCACATGTTAATTAACTTTGAAAACAGGAGATCTGATGGACCTATATCACACATTACCTCAGTATACAGGAGGCCCAATGGACCTGTATTACATTGTGGTCTCTGAAAGAGGTATCAATACCCTCTCCAGTATTGTGTTTTGGTTTTTTTGTTTACTACTTTCCAGATGATAAATGCAGGTGATCATTCATCAGTGTTACATGTTTCACATGTGTAGTACCAGACCAGAGAAACATTCTCTTATGGCAGTTCTTCTGTTTGGAAACAGACTTACATTTAGATGAACATAAATAAAGAGAATATTAAATAAAAAAATATAATGGTGAATTCTTTTAATATCACTTTGTTTCTGATACAGATCACATCAGCATACCCAATATAATTAATCACTTTTCCACTATTTGTGGAAATCATTACATTGTGTTTAGGTCATTTGTGATCATTCAAAGGTAAAAGAAACAAAGAATAATTAAGGTTTTGATAAAACAAGTGAAAAAATATAATTTCTATATCAATGTTTGTTAACAGTTAACAATATAAAACAAACAAAAGAAAAGCCTACAGAGAAGTCTCAATCAATGGTTGGTAGTTTCAACACATCAAACATCAAATGTCTGTATAATCACATCACCAGTACTCAAGATAGAATTCCCTGTATTTACAGATTGTTTTCTATCACAAAACAAGAGTATTTATCTATAGTGCCCTCAACTATGGATGCTCTGGATAAAAGAAAAAGAAAATACAGAGACTTGTAACATAGTTCAGGGTTAAATAAAGTTTGGGTTTCATCTTTGATCTGGTGACCTTCACCTGAAGTCAGGCAAGTTCTTATTTGATTCCAACTAATCATTATTTAGTATTTCTATACTAAAATACAGTCTGAAGTTTTCTATACAAACCTATTGTGGGTACCTCTGCTATGCATACTCTTCTTATACCATTGCAAACACTGAAACAAAAAGAGCAATGAAATTAATATTGTCTAAGAAATTTTTTATCTGTAGCTTGGAAGCACTATAGTACAATCGAGTATACCCTGGTAGAACAACACATATCTTTGGTCTATTTAAAGAACAACTTCATGAGCTATGTCAGACGTACATGCCACTCGCATTAAGTACAGGATATACATGTATCCTTCACATACATCTCTATTCTAACCTCCCAGTGATGTTCCAAACTGCGGGTTCACATCTATAGATTATTTAGCTCTACATTAACATTTCTATATCAAGTAATCATTTGAAAACTTTCAGGATTTCATTGAAATAAGTTGTAATGTATTTCTGAAAATGTGCATAGAGAATAATAAATGGGAAGGATCAGAAGGAGAAACAAATAGGTTTCAAATTTGGGAAATAGGTTGCTTAGCTTGAAGAACCTACAATAAGAGATCCTACAACAAGAGTTAATTCATCTTGCTATTTAGTCATTAAATAAAGAATTTTTAAAGGAAGAATAATATCTGAAATAATTTCCTTAATAGAACCTTGGCTGGTGATCAGTTCCATTGTTTATACAAAATTGAGTCTCATTCTACAAGAAACTTGGGCAATATCCTTATACAGAAGAAGAATTTCTAAGCACTTGCTACATTTCCCTTATTCTGCCAAACACTTCTTGGGACTCCTGGATTACACAAAATTGTGTTTCTTTCATCCAGATATGCTTCTGATCAAATTGTGACAGTATCCTGGCATTCCAACAAAAGGAGAAGGAATTTAACAAATTTTCTCTATTTCACCTATATAGCCCTGACCCTCTTGTCCAAAGGGATCAAACCCATTGATTATTCAAAACTGATTACCCTTCAAACAAGGATGCATCAGACCAAATTGAGACAGAATCCTGAAAATTCTACAGAAGAATTTCAAATAATTTGAAGAATTTACTCTATTTCCTGTATTGTGCCCCACTTTTCAAGGACCCATGGGGGCTGAGACCCATCATTTATACAAAATTGAGCACTTACACACCTGTCGATCCATGTGCACTATGCATGTGAAATTCTTTCAACAATTCTCTTTTGATTGCTAACCCTAAAGGGAGTTTCTTATTCACCTTATTCTAAATAGAAACAGAATTCTCACATTCTCAAGTTATTTTTGTTCTTTTGAAGAACAGCAGATATCTATTAAAACTTAATTAGTTTGGAGACAACAAAAGTAGCATATTGATAGCCACATTCATTCAATATATTGATTTTCAGTCTTTTCATCATCTTGCTAATCTGAAAGTTTGTTGTATTGGCTTTTCAGGAATAATGCATTGAAATGAAACCAGAGAAAATCCTTAAGAATCAACATTATTGAGTTGATTCAATGAAATTTTACCAGATATATATTGGTACCTGACATATATACCAGAAGGTTATTCCAGAGCACCACTATCATATCACAATGTTTTCTCGACTGAAAGTGAAAATAGGATGTCAGCACATGGTCGTATTTATCAGTATATACAAAGAAAAATAATTGGCATAGACTGAATACATGTGTTAACATATTCAACCTGAGATCTGTATCTTCTATGACAAATTTGATATTCTCATCCGTTAGTTGAGATATCTGCACAGTGGGCTGATTTGCGTAAGGCATATTTCAGCGTTCTCCTTGTTTCGAATCTTGCACAAGTCTGCATTACACGGCTTCCGCTTGACACCAGATGGCGTTATTTGGATTATTGTAATATTTACTCTAGGAAGAACAGGCTAGATCGAGTGGTAAAGTTTCTAATTTTTAATGAGAACTTGGAGCAATATCATCTAGGTAATGTTTGTAAAGTCGTTTGTCTTCAGCGTTATTGAAAAGATAACAAATTCCTTTTTTATAATTGAAAAAAAGAAAACATTTGATATTGTGAACCCCCATAATACGACTTAGAATTGTCCGTGACATATCCGGTTGGGAGAAGTTAGTTTTCAACACAATCATAACATATGGAAAGATGTCGTCCTTTTCGGATAGCAGCCTTAGCAAGAAGTTAAACGAACTAAACAACACTCAACAGAGTATCCAGACGTTGTCACTGTGGCTGATTCATCACAGGAAGCATTCAAAAACCATTGTGCAAGTATGGCAAAGAGAAATGCAAAAAGGTTCGTACACTTTTACACCTGTCTGCTCACCACTGTACATGAAACAGGTGCAAGTTCACTATTAGTGTATAACATGTACAACTACCGTTCACTGAACAGGTCAAGTACATTTTAAGCCGTGACATACATTGTGTATATATAACAATAATCATAAGCCTAAGTCTCTTGCTGCCGAATGTTAACATATGTAAAATATTTAGAAACAACATGTAACAAAATAACATGCAAACAAAAACAAAACTAGTTTGGTACTGGTAAATTAAATCGAAAACAAAAATCAAACATATCAGTGACTACACACAATGCAACACAGACTGATAACGGCAGTGATGATATAAAACATCAGACATACATAAACCTTGGTTAGTTGAAATACATGCATAACTCAAATAACATCAGTAGAATAAATATCAGCAATAATATTACAGGTGTTACTAATCTACTAAATACAGTAAGGGAAAGGATGGTGCATCAACAGCATGGGTTCTGTTATGATGAAATCTAATGAATGAAGCAATATCGTGCAATTGTAATTATTTAAAATAAAACTTACATAAGGCATGAGATAAAGTAAGCATGAATGAGATCACATCATTGGGAGGCTACATATCTGCATTAAAGTTTTTCCATTCTGCTGTCTGATCATAGTTCATCAAAAGAGTAATTTTGCACATGAGGTAAAGTATGGAATTCCAAACACTTGCATCAAATAAATAAGCCTTAAGAGATAATTCATAGAATGCTGACTTTCTGTCAATAAAAATATGATACTAAATAGGCAAAGCCTGAGAAAAGTATATCTTTATATTTTCCTAAACTGATGAATCAGACTTACACAAGGCTTATTAACAGCAAATGTATAGGCATATATAGTGTACTGTATCTATCAAAATTCATTTGTGAATATATATGCAACTATAAAGCAGAAGCAATGCTGTGTTCATAATAATCTAAAAGTTGTTTTTAGTATGGATTTTTATATTGTGTTTTCATCTGCATTATTTTGTTGTGGTGTTTGTGTAGTTCTAGTGACATAAAATCATGTGCCAAATTCCTCCTCTGATAATAGAATATTTGCATGGTCAAATCATTTCACAACAAATTATAATTTTTTTCTGCAAAATATACTAAAATATTCTTTGAATGAATAAAGTATGTATTCTTGCATCAGTGAATGAAATTGTAAAATGCTGTAATCAAGTAGAAGTGGAATGCTGCGTTCATCACAGCACCATTTGTGGTACAGTCATACAAGAAAGGAGACTCTTAATTTCATTCACCCAGCCACTAGATCACTTTTTATAAAATTTTCAAGTGATGGTTTCAGCAAGACTGTTTCTGTACTGGAGCACTGTTTCAGGTTTAAGGGCCAACAATTATCATTTGTAACACATATAGGAAGGTAGGCAACTCTATTTAGTATACCTTTTCCCAGACGTTAGAGCTAAATGTATACTTGGCTGGCATACGATAGCTGAGCTCTTTTAATAATACCTGTAAAAATAGATACTACATTCCCATTGATAGAATGTCAAACTCCTGTTGATAAATAAGCTATTCAATACTGTAAATATGTAAATGCTGAAAATTTTGTTGCTTGCAGATCTTCTCAGTGGCAAACTTTTGATTTTACAATCTTGTCACAACTCACTGAAATTTTGCAAAATTATGCTAATGATACCTTATACCAAAGCAGGTCAGTTAAACATATATATACCAGGAATGTAATTGTGGTGACTGTTAATGAGCTCTGCATGAATTCATTAAAGTGTTAATAAAACAAAGTAAGGTAAGCTGGCAAACATATTAAAAAGGTCCTCACATTGTTATATCTTTTCTAAATGTGGAAGAGCTTGCATGTAGATAAGTCCTCATTACAATAAGAACAGGGAAGGGAGCAATACCAGGAACACATCTGTAGCAAACACACACCCAAACACTGGCCAGATAACACATTTGTATAACAATGCCAGGAACACACATGTAGCAAACCCTCACACCCAAACACTGGCCAGGTAATACATTTATGTTACAATACCTGGAACACATCTGTAGCAAACACACATTCAAACACTGGCCAGGTAACACATTTGTATAACAATGCCAGGAACACACATGTAGCAAACCCTCACACCCAAACACTGACCAGGTAATATATTTGTAAAACAATGCCAGGAACACACTTGTTACAAACCCTCACACCCAAACACTGGCCAGGTAATACATTTGTATAACAATGCCAGGAACACATCTGTAGCAAACCCTCACACCCAAACACTGACCAGGTAATACATTTGTATAACAATGCCAGGAACACACATGTAGCAAACCCTCACACCCAAACACTGACCAGGTAATACATTTGTATAACAATGCCAGGAACACATCTGTAGCAAACCCTCACACCCAAACACTGACCAGGTAATACATTTGTATAACAATGCCAGGAACACACCTGTAGCAAACCCTCACACCAAAACACTGACCAGGTAATACATTTATGTTACAATACCAGGAACACACCTGTAGCAAACCCTCACACCAAAACACTGACCAGGTAATACATTTTTATATCAATAAGAGGAACACACCTGTAGCAAATACACACTCAAACACTGACCAGGTAACACATTTTTATAACAATAACAAGAACACCTGTTGTTTATCTCATCTTATTAATCCTACTACATTTTGTAATTGTGAACATATACAAGTCACAGATGACAAAGTTAATTCCTCTCAGACTGTTAGTACAAGGAAGTATAGTTGTATGGCTATATCAAATTGTTGTTTAACTGCTAGTCAGTAGGTCAAGATGTTACAACATCTCACCTTCAGGGCTGATTAATAGGCATCATAAAGCATGCACCAGGTATGTACTGGTATGAGCCAAAATTTGGCAAAATGGCTCACAGGTGTAGAACAAACAAATTACTATACAGTACTCTACTTTTGTTGACATTCTGTATGGGAGTGAAACATTTGCTAGTGTTTTTTTTCCACTTTTTTTTGGTAAACATTTTACTCTCACCCAATCTTAAAGCCCCAATATACGTAAAAATCACTATAAAAAAGCAAACTCTATCTTATTTTCCCCGTAATATATGTAACAAAACAAATACTTTTCTTTGATTAAAGAAAATAAAACTGACTGTTTTCAATTTAAATAAAAATTGAAAAAATCGGAAAATAAACAATGTGGGACCCACAATAATTCATACATTATCGCTCGTAGTGATGACATTGCACATTTGCATATTCTGCGTGTGTAAACATGGCAGACACAGTACAGACGTTCACCAGTCGCTTCCTTTTTTTCCGATCATACATCAGGCCAGTTCTGAATTCTTACGTTATAATTGTGCGTTGTATCGTTTCTAAACTAATTATTCCTTCTAATAATTTCCCAAAAACTGAATGTTTATCACAGGAATACCTCAAGTCTACGACAAGACTTTGCAAACAATGTTTGTAAACAAAAACTTACCGTAGACATATCTGCATTTGCTTCCTCTATAAGTAGAAACCTCAACTCTCGCGAGATCAGGTCATGAACTTTCCGACGTGGTTTGGCAACAATCGTAATTTTGATGGTGGTGTGTTTAAAATGGAGGTGTGTTTACAAATAGCGAGTTTCAACTGCTCATATATCAATTTTTTATGCACAAAGTCATGGTAACTATTGTTTGAATAACTTAATTTTAACTACATCTTAGAGAATATCTCAATAATTATGTGTGATTCTACACTAAATTCTTGGTGAATGTTACGTATATTGGGGCTTTAAGTAACTATTTCAGACTGCTTTCTACTGAGTGACCTTTAGTCTAAGTGGATAGGTTAATAAGATTACCTGTGGCCTAAGTGGATTGGTGAATGAGGAGGTGACCTGTAGCCTAAGAGTGTGTGTTGATGTTACCTGTGACATGAGTGAATTGGTTTTCAGTATTTGTCAATTGCATTTGTATTTTTTCCATCTGCAGTGAAGTCCGCTGTGCGATTGACCTTTATGTACCTGGCAAATGACGTCATACAGAATAGCAAGAAGAAAGGTCCAGAACTGACCCGGGACTTTGCTACAGTGTTACCAGATGCATACGCAGTGGCAGCAAAGTTAGTCTTAATATCAAGTATCTTTACTTAAACCTTATAAAATATGACCTACATTTAAAGATGAGATACCTAGTGTCTTATTGTTTTAAAGTAATGAAAACATTAGTCCAATCAGTCTTGGGAAATTTCAATGTAGCATTGGTTAAATCTAAAAAAAAAAAACTTTATTTAATCCATGACACTAGGGTAAAATGAATTCTAGGAATGAAGTATACACATGAACTAATCTTCATTGTATTTAGTGAATTTAGTTACAGTATTTTATCTATAAATCTACTCTCTGATGGTCATTAAAGAAAAATCTTCGATGGGAGCTTCAAGAATTCTCCAAGAACCAACATCCAATAAGCATATGTGTATGTTGTAGTTCATATACTAGGTTTCAGGAGTGTTATGTAGAGCTTTCTTCAAAGGAATAGATAAAGTAGAAAAGTAGAAGAGTAACACCTGAAGCTGGTTTCCATACAGCATCTTCTATTATCTACTGTAAAACCTGTCTCAGAGGCCACTTATACAAAGGCAACCTGTCCATAAAGACCACTCTTTTGGTTTCATATGGAATGCTATTCATAGGAATTGAACCGGTATATAAAGGTCACCTGTGTATGAAGGCCACTTTTTTAATCTCCCTTGATTGGCCTCTATAGACAGATTTGACTTCACTGTGCCTGCATCCTGGAAATTCTAGGGATTATGATCACTATTGATCCTGAGGTCGAAAGTGATTATATATAAAATGATTACCCCTGAAAGTTTCAAGGATGCTGTGCCAGTAGCCAACATGTTTCTGTAATATATAAATTTGAAGATATAAAATGTATAATGTTTTTTCTTTATCTTTACAGAGATTCAGATGAAAAGACCAAGAAGTCATTAGAAAGAATTTTAAATATTTGGCAAGAAAGAGGAGTATATGACAAGACTTTTGTGTCCAAAATAAAACAAGAAACAGGCAAGTAATATGTGATGAATGACTATTAATTTTCCTAGAATTTCAGTTTTGTCCATACCTTATTCTAGAATTGATGGATAACTGCCTTAGAAAAAAGATTACAATGGTAATCAGTGACCCTGGTATTGAGTTACAATGATTTATATTTACTGTGGCAAAAGATAACCCTGATAATTGGTATCCTAGAAATATACCAGTGATTAAGCAACAGGTATATATATAATTATGTATGACGTCATAATGTCGTTACTAAGACATCATAATAAATGTATCGCCTGAAGATGGCCGTTAGGCCCGAAAACCTTAGTGGAATACATTTGTCGTGTTGATTAGATTTTTTTCAACTATTTATATACATATCAATGCTGGATAAGAATTTACTCTGATAATGAGATGATAAAGAGTTATTATGATACAGGAATACCCTATAAAAAGTTGTCCATATGAAATTTTTATCCTGAAAACAGAGAATTAACTTATATCAGATGCCTCACTGACAAACATGAGTACAAGCACTTGTTGGATGTATTTTTGTGGGAGTGATTCCAGGGTCCTGTGATCAAAAGCTAAAGTCATTTACTATCAGCAGAAAATTGGTTTCTACAAATATCTTCTGTTCTGTGTGGATGATTCTTCACAGGAAGTCAATTGCTTCAGAGGTCAAATGTCAGGGTCACCATTACCATGAATAGAAATGGGAATATACTGCAAAATTTATATCATATATGAATGCTCCTGGTAAATATTTACTTAGGACATAATGAATCATAATTGATTGAAATCACATGAGAAGTCATTAGACCATAGGTCATTGTCATCAGGTCAAAGTTCTAGGTCAGGGTTGGTGTCCTTAAACATGTGTTAAAGTTGCTATTAAAGTGTATTTTTTTATTCAGAGCACATAATTATGTCAGTGCTCTAGTTTCAATATTTAACTTTTATCTTAATTTTGATGTTGTGCTTTTTCTATTATTATATTTGTGATTTAAATTTCTATTCTTTAGATTTAGGAAAGAGTAATTCTCAGACAACTGAAAAGACGAAAAAGAGAGTTGATGAATATGTTGCAACCAAACCTAAACATCATAAGTCTAAGAGTAAACAACGGGAGCGGGAAGCTGGTAAGCTACATCAGTAAATCTGTCTCTTTATATCATATCTAGATCCTGTCTCATTAATACAGTAGTAACAGGAGACAGGGGAGCTACATCAGTAAATCTGTCTACTGATATCATGTCTAGATCCTGTGTCATGAATACAGTAGTAACGTGAGACAGGTAAGCTACATCAGTAATTCTGTCTACTGATATCATGTCTAGCTCCTGTCTCATGAATACAGTAGTAACAGGAGACAGGGGAGCTACATCAGTAAATCTGTCTACTGATATCATATCTAGATCCTGTCTCATAAATACAGTAGTAACGAAAGACAGGTAAGCTACATCAGTAAACCTGTAAATTTTGTATGAGGGTTCCCCTTGGTACCTACTTGTGCTCTTTTGATTATGACTAAAAGAGAAACAATATGCCTGACCAGCGATCATCGTGGATTTTGACACTGAAAATTTGTCATCCCTATTCCATAGAAAGTACGGGAGATATTTTTCACAGATTTTGCATATAGATTCCCCTTGACCACATGTCATCCCATTTTTCTTTTTTAGGGGGGACTGATTAAAAGAACAAAATCTTGGATTTGACCAATTATATCACTAATTCTTTAGAGGAACATTAAAATTTCATATAATTAAGAGGAAAAACAGAGGGAAGAAGAGAAAAGATTTAAATCTTTTCTTTTAAAGAAGATCAAATTATGGTGGGTCCAAGATCTCTTTGGGATCTGATGGATATTTGATACAAGTATAAGTTCAAAGAGAGTTACTTCAGATGTTTCATACAAGCATACAAGAAATAATTAAAAACTTATCTCTAATAATCTTTTCTATTTTTAGTTAAGCATGTATCGGAACCAGTGGCACCCGTTGCTGTTGTACCAGCCAAAAAGAAAAAGAAAGAAGATGATCTTAGCCTTATAGAGGAAATAGAAGCGATGCCTAACGATCCCTCAAGTAATGCTGGTGATGTAAGTTCGATGAAGCTTTTTGTTACACTGGTAATGTGAGTTCTTATAATGCCTGTGTTCTAATTTTGATGTAATGTCTAGTAAAGTACTGTAATGCTGGTGATGTAAGTACCTTCAGGAATGTAAATGCCTGATAACCTCCCCTGCTAATAGAAGGTTACCTAGCCGAAATTTTAACTTCTATCATGTTGTTCTTATATTGTTTCCTGTGAAAAATAAACAAATTTTTATCTATACCATTTACTCCAAGTATTCTAATTTCCAACTGCCTTATATCAAGGTTTATAGAACAACAAAAGAATAATATAATAAAAAAAACATATTATACACCTATCTGTTTCAGTCAGAGGCATTGGTCAAGAGGCTGGCTGATCTAGAACACTCTGCATCCAGTGATGCTGCAGTACGAGAGAAGATAGCTGCACTTCCACCAGAGGTGTCAGACATACAGCACTTGTCTAAGGTTCAAGGTTTGTACCATATCTATGTAACATAAAGTAGGACAAATGGCCATAGAAATAATGTTTTGATGTTCCACTCAGTTCCATGGAGAGTCAAATTGAGATAGTAACAGCAGTAAACAACCAATAATGTTTTTCTTCTCTGTACAATCGCTAGGTGATTGAAAAAGGATTAACAGCGGTAGTAAACAAACCATGTTTTTCTTCTCCAACCATCACTTTGAGAGTCAGTATTTGCAATTAACCATCAAAATTGTTTTTCTTCTCCGTGCCATTACTAGGAGAGATAAATTTGATAAATAGACCTGATGGAATGAATGGTTGCAGTAAATGGCATTTCTTTTAATTACAAAAAATACACAAGCTTTAGTGAGTGTTTTCATAACTTTTGAGAAATATTTAATAAGGTTGAAAGAAATACTCATATGACTACCACAAGTTCACCTAGTTCTACCACAGTGATAAAGCTATTCTAAAGGTTAACTGACCTGTTCAGTACCTTCGGATGTATTGTTTATGTTGTCAGTTGAAGAAAGACTTTCAGTTAAATGACACTAACCAGTATCCAAAACTGATAATTTCAGAAATACATGAGATATTGTTACTTAGTACAAAATATAACCAGAAATGCATCGGTTTGTTATCTTCATAGCAAAAGAGGAAGAAAGTCAAACCAAAAATAGTAAAACAATTGTGTACTACTTATTATGCAGTCTAATTTCCATGAGTAGGTGAAGTGCCCTTTCAGTCAGAGTTCATCTTCTCATCCAATAAAAACCTACTGAAGTGTTGCAACAAATGTGGTATAACATTTATGTTTATACAGTAACTGGTTGTAGTAGCAATTGACAATCAGTTAAAATAATGTTCTTTGTGGGATAGGGGGTATATAATGATGAGAAATAGAGGGCTTTTCTACATGAACCCATATGTCATTTGCTGATGGTTAGGGATGAGGGAGTTTATGTGTGTGTGAGCTCCATTAAGTTAAAGGTAATGAATGAGTGTGGTGGTGGGCAAGTCCACACAAACCCAAATGTTGCTTGCTAATAATGAGGGATGGGGAAGTTTATCTGCATTACCCCCATTGTCATTTGCTAATGGTGAGAGATGGATATGAGAGGGTGTGTATCTATATAAGCCACTGCTCACTTTGTTTTTATCCTTCAGATAAGGAAGCTGCAGTAAAATTAGCTAGTCAAGTGGAGGAGGCCTGTATTCTGTTGTCAGAGTACAACTTCAGACTTAATGCTGAGTTAGAGGAGAGGAAAGCAGTGGGCAAGATGTTACGGGACTTTATTGTGTGTCAGAGGGAACAGCTCAGGGAAGCGGAAAGTAAAGTGGAGGTAAAAGAAAGTGGTGTACTGTAGTGAAAAGACACATTTTTTCTGAAAATGCAAAAAGAACTGTCTCCCCTTGTCTATGGTGAATAGGTCTCTATGCCTTTTTTTAAAAATCAATATTAAAAGTTTGTTGAATATTTCTTTCCCTTTTAAAAATTGATGCACATGTTTAGTACCATTGGGATTATAAATCACAAAGATTTCATGGATACTTTATTTTGTGAACACTTGTCGAGAAATTACTTAGAATTCATGAATGATAAACTATTACAGATATGAAATGATAAAACAGATATTTTGCATGTTCTAAACTCTGTTATTGTAAATATTCTAACACCTTTCCAACACAAAAATAATATCAGAGATTTACAATTATATGTATTTTTGCACACTTGCTTGACCTTTAACCTCTGAACTACACTTGTTTATTTGGATAACACCATTTTGTGAAGTTCTGCATTCAACACCAAGGGGATGCTATTTGTTAGTACAGAGTTCTAAGGATGTTTGATTTGAAAGTAATATATGTCTAGCAGATTTTTTTCTGATGATGTGATAAGTTATGTGTAAATACAATAGAAGTGTAAACATAAGTAAAAGTAAGTTGATGACAGAATAACAACGATGTCATCAATAGATTGGTACAAATAATTGCAAGAGATTTCAATTGGTGATTTGATCTCCTTTTGTATTAATGAGAAAATAAATACCATGCAAAATAAAAATGATAAACAGTAGCTAATTTGTGATTTATATCTCAGATATATTCAGCATAGATTGGTACAAATAATTGCAAGAGATTTCAATTGGTGATTTGATCTCCTTTTGTATTAATGAGAAAATAAATACCATGCAAAATAAAAATGATAAACAGTAGCTAATTTGTGATTTATATCTCAGATATATTCAGCAAACTGTTTTACACTGGCAATTTATGTTTTAGGATTACAAATCCCGACTTGAGAAAGTTACCAGTGTGCGAACAGAACTTTCCTCACACATCCAAAACCTGCCAGATCTAACTTTGCTACCTGATGTCACGGGAGGGTTAGCTCCCCTTCCATCGGCTGGAGATCTTTTTTCACTGGATCAGAGACATTGATATTGGTGTGTATGTAATGTTTAGAATACTCTGTCAAATGTAGCCCTTTCCTAGACAGTTTTCCTGTTCTCTGTCTTAATCAGCTTTCTTACCTAACTCAGATTACTCTTTATAAGTTTCTTAGGGCCATGTCACAACACTGATAGATACCCGATATGCTAAGGCTGTAATCTAACACTTAATTAGTTTATGGTCTACTGGAGAATTCTGTTTGATATACAAGATATACTGACCATGAACTATTGCTTATATTTATGATCCTTCACATTTTTGGGTCATAACATTAGCCATCTTTAATTAAGTTTTTTAATGCTGATGTAAGTTCATCATATTTGACTTAGCTGGAACAATATTTCTAATGCTAAATATTAACATAAGAGTTTGTGTTTCTTTTTAGGGTCATTCCAGAATGTTTGTGATGGTATAATTCTGCATGGATGAGTAAATGTGTGATGACTAGAACCTTATGAATATTTTGAAAGTGTGTGGTGACTGTGAAATTCTAGATGCCAAGCAACCAGTGCTATTAGACTGGACCAGTCACAAGTCCAGGACAACCCTGATGTTGGACATTTCATCTGTCCTGGACAACCTGGATACTGGACAATGCATTGGTTCAGGAAAAGTCTGATGCTGGAAAGTCTGTTTAGGAAGTTGGATACTGAACAACTCCTATGTCCAGGACAACTTGGATACTGCACAATTCACCAGTCCAGGGCGACCCTGATGCTGGACTCTTGAGCTGTCCAGGACAACTTGGATACTGCACAATTCACCAGTCCAGGGTGACCCTGATGCTGAACTCTTGAGCTGTCCAGGACAACTTGGATACTGCACAATTCACCAGTCCAGGGTGACCCTGATGCTGGACTCTTGAGCTGTCCAGGACAACTTGGATACTGCACAATTCACCAGTTCAGGGTGACCCTGATGCTGGACTCTTGAGCTGTCCAGGACAACTTGGATACTGCACAATTCACCAGTCCAGGGTGACGCTGATGCTGGACTCTTGAGCTGTCCAGGACAACTTGGATACTGCACAATTCACCAGTGCAAAACGACTCTGACGCTGGACTCTAACGCTGGGCAGGACAATTTGAATGCATTATTTCTATATTTCTTCTGTAACTGTTGATCAGTATGAAATTGTTCACTTCTCTATCCAAATGGTATTCAGAGCTCATACTATCTTAATCTGATAATTTCATTTTGAATTTATATTGAATATATAAATGTCTTGGCTAAGATTGGACATGATAAAATATTGTAGCAGGTGATAGAGATCTAAAACAATAATGAACACTGCTTATTATTATAGAATACTTACATTGCATTGCTGTTGAAAAGTACCAAATCCCAATAGTAAGCCTTCAAAAAAGTTCATTAGTATTTTAAAACAAGAGCCTAGATAAAGTTGGTACCATTTTTGTGGTGACAAAATAATAATATATTGTTCTGTCAAAGTTGGGTATTAATTTTTTCGGGATTAAAATTAATTTACTGTCCATTTTATTAATTTCTTACTAGAAGACTTTGAATGAATTACTGAGATGATGAGTGTTTTACATTTTTTAAATCCTGAATTCCAGATGCCAAACAGATAATATGTAGTGAATATGATTAACATACTGGATAATTACAGATTAAAAAATCTGGATATTCTTTTGACACGACCAATAAAATCAAACTTACTGAGGTAAGAGGTCTTAACAAGTTTGATAGACAAATTGATAAAGCCTCATCCTTGTCTTTTGGTTGTATTGAAGATTTCACTTACTGTGGACTACCATTATTTTCAAATTTTTTTAAAATTTAGTTGCAGTAGCTTCTTTACTTGCCAGTTGTTTCTTACCTTTTCATCATTTTGAAATTTTCTAGGCATTACCTGTGGGATATTAGCTTAAACCACACAATTTAATTGTTATTTATCTTTGCTAACCAGAGCTTAAGCACTTGTACATTGTTGTTGTCTCAATCAAGAATCTGTTTGGACGTTTTTCCTGATGTATTGGCCAAACTTTACTGTAATGGTTATGTTTGACAAAGGCTTATAGTTCATTTGTGGTGATTTAAATTTGTTTATATAGAAACTTATAAACATAAATTGGGCAACTTGTAGAGATCATATTCAACTAAAGTAATTTCCAGTTGCAGCTTTCAGAATTCTGAATTAATTTATATACCAGTACATGAAAATTCTGATTAATTTTCTTTAATGAGCTGGATCTATCACAGAGATGATAACATTGAACTCTGGTGACTCAGAAGAACCATATTCTCACTATATTAATCTCCTGTGAGTGATATTTGACCCCATTGTACTTGTTGAATATTTCATCACATTAACAAACCTACGTCTCATTAGAATAATAAATGTGACTAAAATTTTATACAATAACTTTGGAAACTTTTCTTCACGTAACCAGAAAATTAGTGTGACATTGTAATGATTTACACTGTTACTTTCATCAGACAAATCACATGTATGAATCAGATTTGCTCGGAGGTATACAGTGCATGAGTTGGTAATATATTTAAGGGACTTTTTGATTGTATGACACTAAGATAATTATGATCATCTATACCTCCTTCCATTTAATCATGTAAAAATATTTAAAAAACTTTCAGAGCTTTGAAATGATAGGTTCCAGTGCTAATTTTGTGTGGATCAGAAGCTCAATTTTGTAATTACATGTTATGTTATATTTGGGATAAGCAGTTTTTAACTTGTCATTTTATTCTAATGAAATATTTCACTTTGTAAGCATTGTGGGTATTTTGTTTGAAAAGATCAGTGTTTTTGTCCTATAATTTTAGTAAGTTGTAATGAACTTTACTTTCGTCTCATACTTATTTCATCAGATTTGTTAAAAAACAAGTTTTCTCAGTGTTTTGTTTTCATTGTAAGCAATGATATAGTTGTTTTACTTTGCCTGTCACCTTTTGTACAATAGCAGCCTAATTTTCTCTCTTGTGTCTGTATACATTGGCAATAAAACACTTTAAATGAATCCTTGGTCAGTGTGGTAACGTACCGGACATACACCATACTTCACAATGCATCTTATCCAAGAAAATTAAATTAGTGTTAGAGACCTTTTTTTTTTAAAAAAAGTATGCTGCTGTCTGGTTTGAAATTATGTTTCATAAATTTTGATATCAGATGTTTGCATGGGTTGTTCATCTGCAATGTAAAAGTAATACATTTTAACTTAATCAAATGATTTATTTTTTTCATTTGAATGTGCTATTTCATCTGAAAATATGTCTCATAAAGCATTTGTAAACACCAGTTATACATATGGCCTAGGCTGTACATATTTGTCCTGTGTAAAAAACCAAGTTGCCTATGGGTAATATAAGCAATTAATCATAAAAAATAGTAATATGAATATGAATGAGAATTTATTAGTGATTTATGTTTTTATGTTTGATGAATGATAAATAGACCTGATAATCAGACATCTCTGATGATGAACCAGAAATAGACGTGATAGTCAAATATCTCTGATGATGAACCAGGAATAGACCTGATAGTCCGATATCCCTCTTCATGAAATAGGAATAGACCTGATAGTCAGACATCTCTGATGATGAACCAGAAATAGACCTGACAGTCAGATATCTCTGATGATGAACCAGGAATAGACCTGATAGTCAAATATCTCTGATGATGAACCAGGAATAGACCTGATAGTCCGATATCCCTCTTCATGAAATAGGAATAGACCTGATAGTCAGACATCTCTGATGATGAACCAGAAATAGACCTGACAGTCAGATATCTCTGATGATGAACCAGGAATAGACCTGATAGTCAAATATCTCTGATGATGAACCAGGAATAGACCTGATAGTCCGATATCCCTCTTCATGAAATAGGAATAGACCTGATAGTCAGACATCTCTGATGATGAACCAGAAATAGACCTGATAATCAGACATCACTGATGATGAACCAGAAATAGACCTGATAGTCAGATATCTCTGATGATGAACCAGAAATAGACCTGATAATCAGACATCACTTATGATGAACCAGAAATAGACCTGATAGTAAGATATCTCTGATGATGAACCAGAATTAGACCTGATAGTAAGATATCTCCGATGATGAACCAGAAATAGACCTGATAATCAGACATCCCTGATGATGAACCAGAAACAGACCTGATAGTCAGATATCTCTGATGATGAACCAGAAATAGACCTGATAATCAGACATCACTGATGATGAACCAGAAATAGACCTGATAGTCAGACATCTCTGATGATGAACCAGAAATAGACCTGATAGTCAGACATCACTGATGATGAACCAGAAATATACCTGATAGTAAGATATTTCCGATGATGAACCAGAAATAGACCTGATAGTAAGATATTTCCGATGATGTACCAGAAATAGACCTGATAGTCAGATATCTGTAATGATAAACCAGAAATAGACCTGATAGTCAGATATCACTGATGATACTCTTACAAGTATAAGGTGCACAAGTGATCGTTGGTTTTTAAAATCTATTTGAGGTGGTCACCAACCACTTAATTTTAATGCAGGCAAACTTTCAATTTTCCCATAGAAATAAGTAGACCTGTATTACTGGTTTTTTTTAGTGTATTGTACAATTGAGTGCCCAGCTTAAACAGGAAAATGTTTTTCTATAAATAGTCATTCTCAAGCTTTATTTGTAACAGCGATAATTGGTATGGCAAAAGAGGCTACATCAACAAAACAAATTGTGGAACAGTAGTGACAGTGTGAGTTTGATTCAAACATTATCATAAATATCTGCTTACAACCTTGATAGCAAGATGTTTCTTATAAGTATAAATCTGCAGGGTAGATTTGAAGTAATTGGGACTATTTTATCATACAAAGATAATCTAGATTCTTTTCTTTGTCGCAGATTCCGTTGTTTTCTTTTGGCCATGTTGTCTTCATCATTACATGTGTTATGCACAAAGCTGTATGGGATTCACAGGCTAGACATAGTTGCCTAATATAGATTTTATCTAGTCAGGTTGACAAGTTTGGTTGGATAAGGATTTCCATCATTAGATATGTAATTATGCATTGTCAGAACTCAGTGGAATATAGTATTGTATTAGGGATATAGACAGGGAAAAGTACAGAAGCATACAGGTTCTTGGTTAAGGTTTTTAATGAAATAAGACAAGAAGCACCTGTTTTAATGAATCTTATCACCTGAGACTTGTTTAGGTAGTACATTTTGGTTGTATTGTAGCATTCCCTACTGTATTATCTACTCTGTAATAGTATTATCAGCTTCCATGGTGACTGATGACACTTGGTCACAGAAACACTGTGTACACAATTCATTTGTACATGAAGAAGAATCAATAATCAAATATTTGAACTGATTCAGATACATTGTGTATAGTATTTAATTTGTAAATACAGAGGAATTAGCTAAGATATTTTAAAGGGACATTGGAAGATTGATCTTGTTGATGTGCTGGAAAGAATCTATGCTCTTGTGTGGATTACCTAAGCTACAAGTTCTGGAATTCAGCGACTTGTGAATTTGTTGAATTTTACATTTTCTGTTAGCCAGCCTAATATATCATTTCAGTGTTTCGTTTTAATGGTGTAAATACAAGAAAATCATTGGGTAGATATGGATAAGCAGTAATTAATGTGTTTGAAATATTTAAATCATAGTCAGAGTACATGTTTTAACAGTATGTTTACATAATTGATAATCATTTAATAATACTTACAGTTGCTCAAGTAAAGACTGTTCCAAATTAAATTGACTGTGAAAAAAATTGTTTGGGAGAGTGTACAATATTCTAAGGTACAGAATAAAAATTGTTGCAAATTTTCAAAAGTGTGATGTTTTAATGTTGTCAGTAATTGTTTGTTGTTTGTTGTTATTATTCTATTGGGTTTATAGACCTGTGTTGCGTCCATCGTTATCCACCGTGTGCCGTCTGTCGTTCATAAACTTTTGACATTTCAAACATCTTATCAAGTTCCATCAGTGGGATTGAGCTCAAACTTGCTTGAAATGATCCTGATATGAACCTGACAAAGTGTTGTTATTTTTTGGGTATTTCTGAAATCCAAGATGGCCGCCATGACCACCATCTTGAAAAACATATTTTAAACTTCCTCTCCAGTTCCAATGCTGCCATTGAGCTAACAATTGGTGGGAATGTTAAGGAAAGTAGCCAACAAAGTGTTGTTATTTTCTGACCTTGTCAAAACCTTGATATGGCAGCCAGGGAGACCATTTTGTAACAGGATTGCTCAATCATAGTTTTCTTGTGCAACACCTATTTTAGACTTCTTCTCAAGTTTCAACAGTGGGATTGAGATCCAACTTTATTGTCAAAAAATATGCAACACTTGTTACAGTTACATACTCCTCACTAAAACTACCATCTGCATCATGTAAAAGAGCTTCTTAGTAAGATTTCATTCAAAGTAGAAAAAATACCCTCCTCCCTGCTGGAAGTTTTTGTGGTCAGATGACCGTTAAGGCCCATGGGCCTCTTATTTTATCAATACCTGTAACATCTTGTATAGTAGCTTCACCACTGTTTAAAAATGCATAGCCAGACCTGGGTTTTGAACTGGGGACCCTCTGAACTCTTGAGACGTATGCTCTATTAATTAACTAAATGCTCATTGTTGATAAAGTTTACATCCTCCTTCCATTTTCGAAGTTTTTGCCTCAAAAGATACCACTTTTGCTAACTTCAAGCAGAGTCAATAATAATTTCAAGCATCAATATTAATTATTGTAATAGGAGCAGAAAAAATGCAGGGCCAGACCAGGGATGGAACAGTTGTACTTCTGCCAGCTACCTCATCACCAACTGTTGACCAAGTACAGTTTGCACTTCACCACAAATGAGTGTTCTGGCACTAAGATAGAAAATGCCATGTAGAATTATGGAGATATTTTCCTGAGATACACGAATATTTATAATTTCAAAATGTTATATGCATGGAATTAATCATTAGAAATGCTTGTCACCATAGATAGCGAATTGCATATGAAAATTGTAGAGGTGCAAGCTACCCATTACAATTTATTTTTATTAAAAATAAGAATTTAAATGATTTAAGATAGTATAAATGCTCGACTGACCTATGGTTTTATTTACAAAATGTGAGGTTTGATGGAAATCTGGTATAGTTTTATCCCTATTTTTTTTTTAAATTGTAACTTTTCTTATTTCTATGGCATTGTGATATGAAGATAGCTGCATGGTGTACATGAATATGTGTGCTTATTTATAGCTACATTTACTTTATGATAATAACATTTATTATAAATGTTTCCTTTTTATGTAAAAAAACAGTTGTTTGAAGAATTTTTTAGAAACAAAACAGTAAATGAAATACAGAACCATCTAAGAACTTTTACTGTGTCGCTACCTTTAATTATGGTTGTAAACATCCATGTGATGAAGATCGATCACCATTGCGCAAGCGTGTTGAACCTCGACCTTTCACTCCCACGAAAGAGAAAGAAAGATGGATTTGACAGGGTAAGTACTGTGAGCGCTAATGATTGCATCCTATTTATTTATATTAGTTGATTAACCAATCATCAAAAACAAAATTGGATGCGGACATTCATTTACCACATTGAGTGAAATGGGGGTAAAACTGGCTAGTGATAGTATGAGAGGTAACGTCGATAGTTGACAGCACCGGTTTTCAGTCTCCAGCCAAGATTGTAAAATTTGAAGTTGTAAGGTTTGGTGTGTGTATTTCGGTATAAAATATGTTAACCAGGTATTCTTTTACTGGAAAACATTCCAACAAGTGGATATTGAAAACATAGTGTTCTGATCGGACGAATTTTTTGTTGAAATACCTTAATTATCTCTTGTCGATATGTACGGGTTTGAAATATGACAAATAGTTAATTACGTTTTATTTTGTTAGACCTGTTGATGAAGCAGAGATTAACAACACAGTTAATATTATATTTGTCTTTCAGTTGAGTATTGGTTCTTTCATATACAT